CTCCGCGAGTCGCTGCCTGACCTCAGCTCCGCGCTCCCCGCCCTGCCCGCAGCCCGGCGGCCCCGAAAGCTTAACGTTCTGCTTGGAATTGCCTTTTCGCCCCCCCTCCTTTAGCTTGGGATTCTCCACAGTTGTCTCTTGTGAATGAATGACTTTTTAAAAGGGCATTAGAATCTAATGATGAGGTCATTACCCATTAATCATACACCCAGCAGGGGGCTCTGGCGCACACGCAGACGCACCCTGCTAGTAAAGTCTCTCCTGAGAAATAATGCCCGCAAGCGCTTGTGAGTAGGAGCTGGACCCACCCTAAGACGACAAAGCTGTACTAGCACCTGCCCGTTTACTCAAAAGTTACGAGCGGTATGAACCAAGCATTAAGCATTTCCCTTTTTTCTAGGCCAGTGAACCTTGAGAACACATTTCTCCTACAAAAACCTGTTTTTTTAAAAAATATATATAGCAAGGATTAAATGTCACCATTTTGATCCAATTTCGTTCCTGAAGTGAAATAATCACTAAATAACTACTTTGACAGAATAAATTAATTTTTAAATCTATTTTTTTATTTTCTAATTATACTTTTTAAACACAGATTTGAGGAAATTAACATTTATGTGGACATTTGGTTTCTAGCCTAATGTGGCATAAAAATAAGTAACATAATGAGTGTTAAAAAAAATCAGGTTCATGATGCTTCTCACATCATCATCATTGTACTTAGATGTCACAACAGTATTATGTGCGATTGTGTCAGATCCAGCCTTCTCCAATCTCGGAGTGTTGGCAGGTAGGAGGGTTGTTGGCAAGAGGAGGGGTGTTAACCTCAGGATCCTGGATTCATTCCAAGGCTGGTAATTACATTCTGCCAGCCAAAATTCATCCCATAATTTTAATTGGATAAATCCTTTCTGGCCTAAGCTACTGCTATGCCTGTCAAACTGTTGCCACATTTCACCCCAGAGGTGTCTGTGTTTTAGTTGCAAGAATCAGTCCCTTTGAGGTTGGCTTATCAATTTAAATCCTCAAAGTGCTTTGGGATCCTATGGAATTAAATATATATTTAGGTATTTTTTCTACTGAATCTGCAATAGAAATGCATAAAATATACACCCATGTTAATGCCTAAAAACCAATACCCATCTAATGTCAGCAAATAATTTCAAAATAATTTAACTAGACTGATGTCCCTAACTTTCTCTTCTCTCCTTTTGAGAGCTTTTACTGACCATAGCATTAGCTTCCAGTTAACAAAAAGTACTGCAATGTCCAACATTTCCTTCCAAGGAGGACAATGGAACTGAAGGCCCTGTATCTCACCATTCCAAACAATCCCATGATGAGACTACTCGCTACAATGGAAGATGTAGTAACAGTACATCTAGTCTTATCTGTCTCTCCAGAGAAAACAGTGTGACACCTAGGGGCTCAGGGTTCTAGCTGTAACAACTGCTAGAACTAAAGCTTCTTCCCCACATCTCCTAATCCTCTCTGTGAGAAAGTCTTTCCCTTTACAGAGCTGCTGGGGTTAAGATAACATTTCTGAAAGCATCAACACCCAGCAGTTACTCAGTAAACCTTAACCCCTTTCTCCACTCTACTGAGGTCAGACAGAAATGAGAGAAGGCAGGGTCTCAGCATTCTTTGTGGAGAGGGCAGCATCTGCCCCTGCCTCAGAACTGTAAGCATGTCTTTTTGGAAAAGACAAGGAAATGGATACAAGCACGTCTGATGAAAAGTTCAGCAGTAAGATTTAAAGTCTTATTTTGCTCTCTTCAAGAATTGAAAAGTATGGGATGCCTGGGTGGCTCAGTCGGTTAAGTGTCTGCCTTCGGCTCAGGTCATGATCCCAGGGTCCTGGGATAGAGCCCCACATCGGGTTCCCTGCTCAGCGAGGAGTCTGCTTCTCCCTCTGCCTCCGAGTGCTCCCCTTGCTTGTGCTCTGTATCTCTCTCTCTCTGACAAATAAATAAAATCTTTAAAAAAAAGAAGGAAGGAAGGAAGGAAAGGAAGGAAGGATTGAAAAGTACCTTTGGTGTTACTTTAGCTCAGCCACACATAATCCTGACTTTTTTGTTATTTAAAAGAGCTCTATGTCACATTTACAATGTATAAGCATCAAACTTCTAATTATTTAACTTAGCATGCTTTGGAGGAGTTTTTCATACATTTTAGGTGAACACGCTATTTTGACTACTCGTTTCTCCTGCTAAGTCCACGTTCAGGGCGTTAGGTCCTTTGATCATTACGGTTCCTGTCCAAAAACAAATAGGCACTGGAAGAGAGCATAGCTACAAGTCCCAGTGTCAATTCTGTCGGTGATACCTGTTTCCTAACACTCCCATTGGTCCCTTGTGAGACAAAGATAGTTTTCTCTACCCCTCATTTTCATTTTTGCCAGCAAGGAGAGCATAGGTCTTATAGGAGCCTCCCCTGGCCCATCAGAACTGAGGTGGGTAAAAGGGAGAGGTTGTGCTCTGGTTTGGCCCCATAGAGCTACGGGAACAGAGCGCTCAGGTGCTGCTTGAGCAGGGCTGGGATCAGGGTAAGGGATTGAGGCATTCACCTCACATGCAAAATCAAGTGGGTGCCAAAAAACTTGGTAATGCAGTATCCTAAGAAGTCAAGATTAATGCAAAATAAGAAATCCGTGGTGAACAAAATAACATTTTAAGACAGAACCATACCCTGTACTTGTCCAAGTTGGTCACCCTCAGCTCACCCTGATCCCTGCCCTGTGGTTGCATTCCCCTTTGTACCAGTCTGTTCCTGATTGAAGGGTTAAGAGGAAACTGTACCACTCTGCCCTGCCTGCATCCTCTCTTTGGGCCCCCAAAATGGGCAACAAAACCAGAAATGTCAAGGGTAAAAATTTCCAAGCCAGTGGTTACATATAATTTATAGTCTGTTCAAGAGTTCTCTAGACCTCCATATATAGGAGACTTGGCCAACTTACCTCAAGAGAAGGCAAACCCTTATTTGAACAAGCAAAAGAATCAACTCTATTAACTAAATACATTTCCTTACCTTTTTATCTGACACATTTCAAAATATGGTAATTAGAAAGTTTCCTATTGCACTTGGGAATTTTGAAATAATGTTTTAAAGACCATTTTAAATCAATGCTATGAGTCTGTTTTCTATCTTCATATTCCAGCACTTACCTCTGTTCAGGAAAATGTGAGAATTTCCCTTAGAAAGACAGAAATCTAATTCCTTTTTTAAAAAAAAGATTTATTTATTTATTTGAGAGAGAGAGAGAAAGAGCATGAGCAGGGGGAGGGGAGGAGGGAGAGGGAGAGAATCCTCAAGCAGACTCCCTGCTAAGCACGGAGCCTGACTCAGGGCTCAATCCTAGGACCCTGAGATCATGATCTGAGCCGAAATCAAGAGTCGGATGTTGAACCAACTGAGCCACTCAGGCGCCCCAGAAATCTAATTCCTAATGCAATTTTTTTTCTTCAAAGATTTTACTTTCACCCTCTTTTTGCCCTATAGCAGATTTCATTCTGCCTTCTTTCTTCGTGAAACATGGAAAGATTTTATTTCTTCTTTCATGTAAATGTGGTCTGATAAATGAATAATTTTAAAAAGGGACTTTAGTTATCATTCCCGGACAAGTTAAATACAGAAGTGGTTTTAATTACTTGTTTTAAATTGTTGAATCATGTGATATCATGAAATATCTGTTCTATTAGTCATTTTCTAAAACAGCAAATGGGTTTCACTGCTGCCATTTTTAGTTTGTAGTGGGGGAAGTTATGCTAGTAATTTATTTATTTATTTATTTAAAGATTTTATTTATTTGAGAGAGAGAGAATGAGAGACAGCATGAGAGAGAGGAGGGTCAGAGGGAGAAGCAGACTCCCCGCCGAGCAGGGAGCCCGATGCGGGACTCGATCCCGGGACTCCAGGATCATGACCTGAGCCGAAGGCAGTCGCTTAACCAACTGAGCCACCCAGGCGCCCCGCTAGTAATTTATTTTAAATGAGTAAAAGGAGCTTCATGTCCAGAAAGAAGTTATAAAAACAGAAATACCTCCCTTGCCCATCCACCGCTGCCTTAATTACAGGAAATGATCTCCAGCCATTTTTGTCTTAATGAAGGCATAAAAAAACCCACAAGATTTCTGGAATTAACCTTCTTCACCTACCTTTTTGGGAAATGTCTTTCCCTTTACACAATACGGATTCGGTTGGCTGAATTTACCATAAAAGAGCAGTAGGCTAGAATGTAAGCATAGTTACTAGCTTAAATTGGAATCACTTGTTATGCATTTCGTTCATTCATACTAGGAATATGTCATGTAATTAGCCAAAAATTAAGTCTATGACCTATCCACCTTAATTCATCCTTTGCCTTTTTATACCATGTATACCATGTTTTATACCACATATACCTTTTTATTCCATGTGGTCACTCAGTTGTGCATTCCTTTATTATGGAACCTAGGCATTGAATGGAATGAAGTGTCTCCTAGGCCTCTCTCCAAAGCTGTTTTTTCATAGCTATTAGTCATATTGCAGATGAAAAACAATTCC